CCCCCCCTGGGAAGCTATTATAAGAAGTTAGTAATCTCTTATTAAGTTCAGATTTAGAAGTTCTTAAAAGTTTTTTATTTTTAGTATTATATATATGTACATTGGAACCGCGTTGGACATTATCAGAACCATCTTCCTTAATAAGCTGGTACATCCAGATGCATCATTGAATTGATCTACTTGTATGTAGGTCAAACCATTCTACATAGACATCCTATAGCAGATGCCCGCAAAGGTCTCTTGAGTAAGGCCGTGAAGACCTCTGTGTACTATTGTGCAATTTGTCCATTTTGTCGGGGGGAATCAGGAAAAACAAGACGCTCCTGGAGTGTGAGCACTGGGTTGCCGAATGTGCTGGTATGCTGGAGCTTATTTAACACCTTATCTTTTTTGTGTACCGCATTTGGGAGGAGGGGGTACTTTGGAACATTTTAGGAGTATTTTTCTTCGAGAACTTCCAAACACTTATTTTTTCTCACATCAAATTTATTCAAAAGTGTGCCAAAACTATACATATGCAGTTATGTAACAGCATTGCGTTACTGACATCACTAAGGTTTTTACTTAATTAATAGGAGGCTCCATCTAAAATTACACTGACAATAACTGCTGAACTTTTGACCCAAGACTCGTGGCATCTGACGAAATAATGAAAAGTCTTTCATTTACGGCCAATGTTATCAGCTTCATCACCACGTAGTATTTAACAACAAATTCAAGTATATATCTTATTAACTAAGAAGACTAAAAGCTTCATGTATTTTCATTTAGGCTAATGGTTATTAGTTTTGAAGCTAGCTCAGGCTATTTTGCTACTAACCCATGCGATTGAAGTAGGGAATTAATACTGCCGACTGCATGAGTAGCTGTATCAATACATAGCTCTTATTAACCGAGTGCGAGGTCCGTACCATAAGTTATATGGACCGAGTTTTTCCCACTGCCTTATGGCCCAAGCGCGTAGCGCGTGGACCATAAAAAAGTGGAAAAAACAAGGATCCATAACTTACGGTACTGACCGAGCAAACGAGGTTAATAAGATATTTATTATATGGCAAGGCATTGAGATTAAAAAGAGGCGAAGCAACAAAAAGTAAAGTTGACAGCGCATGTCAAACGAGAACTGCATTGGAAGGGCTTCCTGTACGTGCCAAAAATCATGTAGTGTTTGAGTCGCTTAAAAAGAGAAGTTTTAGTTTACTTTGAATGAATCTAGCTATAGTTTAAAGTTTTCTGAAATACTAGTTAACAAAAGTGAGGCTTTCTTTTGCAAAACATGTAAATGCAAAGCAAAAAAGGCATCAAAAGAAGACCTCAAGAACTCAACAGGAGATTGAGAAGACATGTCGTACTTCAAACTTCAAGATATTCACAACCAAGATGAAAATACTACAGTCTTCCGTTTGTTTTCCTGCCTTATATTAGGAAAAAACTCAAAAAACTCTCTCCAGAAATTAATGAGAAGCTTTGGAAAACTATGGCTCGCTGAACATGGACAGTTTTCGTCAATTTTCAACGTTTTGACTGTTTGAAGCAGGCCGCCATATGCACAATGGCTGAAATCATGAAGATTAAGCCACACTTTCGACTCAATTATAAAAAAAGGTACTACCAACTCTCCTGTCCAAAAATGCGTTCAAATTCAAGTGCAGATGAAATATTATGGAAATATTGAAATACTTCAAGAATTAAGAGCGGATGAGTCTAGATAACTGCTTAAAACGTTAACGAAAGAAGCTACTGGCTTCTTCACCCGATCAATTCAGATAAGTTCAAACTTGACGTTGTAAGTTCACTGATTGAAATAACAAATTTACGTTAATTCTACTCGTAAACCTATCTTTATTTCATTTACTGAATTAGCCGCTATTCACTACCCTTTAGTTCGTAGTTTGATTTTTAGCATAGTTAGTTTTTCTAGTTTTTTCTAGTCGTACAAAATCGCTCAACTAGTGCCGTATAGAGCCTTGATCGAAAGAGTTAGTTGTCGCTTGTATGAAAGAGTAGTTGCTTATTGTTTGATAAGTTTTACATTAAATGCCAGTGACTTTCAGTTATCTTAATCATTTATTGAAGGTTTCCCGACAATTTTCATCCAGAAATATTTTTTAAATGAAGATTTGAATGTTTTAAAAGATCATAAGTACGTACACACAGTGAACCATTTCATTTTTCGGTCCGTACCGTAAGTTATGGACCGCAAATTGACCAATCATAACGCGTGAAATTACCTAATAATAATAAATATCTTAATTACAAATAATGCAGATCCTTAGGAATCTTCTTTTACTTCTCATTTATATAACTTCTTACTAAGGAGAGCCCGGAGTCACAGCCTCAGCTGCTATAGCCATGCAGCGTATGAGTCATGGATCTAGCTATGCATGAACACGTCATTCAAATTACAAAAAGTGGGGATCTTCTTTTACAACTCAATTATATTACTTCTATATATGGAGAGCCCAGGGTCACAGCCTGAGCTGCTGAGTCAGCGTATGAGCCATGAATCTATGAACACAACACTCAAATCCATATATGGGCACTGATCTTGTGCAACTTTGCCATTTTGTCAAGCAAGGGGAAAAAATTACTACTGGGCTGCATCACCAGTAGTGACAGTGTACGTTTTCAGTTTTTTTGACAGCTTTCCATGTTTGCATTGTATGCTTATTTTATGCTGTCAACCTGTGCAAATCCTGTGAAAATCTCTGTATTTTTGAAATTTCACAGGTTTTTCAAAGAAGAGCTATAGACCCTAGCTGTCTCATTGAATGAAATTTTTTTTTACTGTACATGCATCGATACTTTGATTKTACAAATATGCATGGATAGACATTGAAAATTATGAAGAGTGAAGCAATTCTGACGGGCAAAGTCTTGAGCAAATATTAATTCCCCTTAAGGATTTAGATTAAGCTGAAACTCAGCGACTCATCTCTAGAAAATTCCTGTGTGACTCGATCAGCTGATCGAGGTTATAAAGAAAGACCAACAACATAATTATGTATGCTAAAACTCAGACTTGAATTGATAGAACTGGGACTAATGGACTAAAGGATGCATATTATCTAAGATTTTGATTTTATGTCATAAACCCTTGGGAAATTTTTTTATACTTAACATGTAATTAATCACTACTTAACACATGTAATTGAGAACTACTTAATATGTATTTAATTTGTATTTTTGCTTTACATTTAATCACT